AATCAATCAGGCAATTAATTTTGTAAATGAAATGCTGATTATACAAAGCTTCACATGAGAGGCCCAGTGATTAAAATCAATTTAACAAATTGTTTCAGGTGGGACTTGATTAATAATTTGCCATAAATGCTGAGGATATATGACCAGCATACCTTTTTGTGTGTGTGTGTTAATATAGAACTATATATAACACTTGGAGTGGAAAAAATCTGAAGCTAACTGTATGTACTTTTGGCTTGTGACCTAGATGTGATTGGTTATACCGTTTTGTGGGTCCAACTGTTCTCCCCGGTGTCCATAATGCCACTTTCTCAGCTAGTGCTCTTTCCAGCAATTAAATACATCTAACTTTTATGTTTGCTAATGAAGCCAAGTAACTGAGAAAATGTATTCAGATCTACTTGAATATTTATTAGGTTTAGGAAGATTTTTTTTCTTTAAAATTTGACATGGATGTAGGATATCTTTCATTTATGTTCTCTCTACCCTGCTTCTGTCCCTTACTAGTTTTCAGGACTTCCTGCGTTTTTCCCTCCTACTCCAGTACTTCTCTGCAGAGAGCCTTCCTGCAGAGCTCCCCTCATTCCGTTTGAGGCTGCTCTCTGCTCCTTGCCTGACGGACACTATTTTTAGTACATCCTTTTCTGTCCATCTAACCCCGTGTTTGTGTAAGAGCTGTACGAAGTAGGTGAGGGATTTGTTTTTTTCTTTTCTGAGTTCCAGATGGCAGCGATGCACAGTGACTGAAGGTGTTTACTTGTCTAGGAAGCTGAGAACCTCATTGCCAGACAAAATAGAAGTAACTGGTGTTCTGGGTGGGGCTTTTCTTTCTTCAACTTCTGGTAGATGCTGGACTGTGGATGGAAGTAGCTAAAGCATGATCATAATCTGGCAGCAAGCAGGAAAAGCACTGAATCATTGATGTGTTCTGTGGTCACAGATAAGTTTGCTAGAAGGCATCTGTAAGAACCCCTAAATTCTGCTGCATTAGAAATTAGTTAACTTGCTGGGGAGCACTTTTGCTAAGAGAGTGGAGCTTCTGCATGCCTAAGAAAGATGGTTTCTGCTGTATGGAGTACCCAAGTTGGAGAAAACAAATATAAAGAGAGGAATATAATTCTTGAGTACTCATTGAAGAAGTTTGGAATTGGTAAAGTGGGTTATGGAAGAAGGCTGAGTGTTCAGGTGTGTTACACCTTCTGTTGACTTCACAGCAATTAGGGTATTAGCTGTATGTCGGTAATTGGCAGTGACAAAGGCAACTTGAAGGGCAGCAGTTCCGAGCTGTATAGTCGTGTGAACTTGTTAGAAACATAGGATTGTTTTAGCCATCGTATGTGACAAATGTGTATAATTGCTTATTGATGTTGTCTTAACCTTTGTGTGCACTTCTAGTGGCAACTGAAGAGGTTAGTTTTGTGTACTTCATTAAAAATGGTTTTCTTTGCGATGTTTGTTGTGATTTGTTCTCTCAGTAGTCATTTAGGTTTATCTATCTACAAAATAATAACTAGAGAATGGCTGACTAACGGACCAGCCAGTTTTCAGGCTGTGTTAAAGAAGACCCAGAAGAAACCTGGAAAGTAGGCATACATACATACATCCTTCTCCCACACCCTGCAGAGATACTTGCTTGTATAATTATTTGTAAATGTTCTAGTGGAGTAGCAGTTGGCTTTTGGTGGGGCATAGCTTTGGTTTTCTCTCTTTTCCCTTCTTAACTACTTAGCTTTGAGTGGAACGTTATCTTTCTGATGTCTCCCTGCAGCTGAAATCAGACAGTATGCAGAGCCTTTAAGACAAGGAAAACTGCTGTTACTGTTAAATCTCCACCAGTATATGCTGCTGCATTTACTGGCCTTCATCATAGGCTTATGTTGAACTTGGTTCTTTGTTTTTGCTTATTCCTTGTTGTGTTTGTGCAACTGACTTTTTTTAATTTAAATTTTTAGTCAGGTACAGACAGTAGACTTCCTGTTTAGAAAAAAACAGGAAGCATGTTTGCCAGTCACCTCTCAGATTTTAATATTGTCAGAATTTAATGCTGTACGTTAATACTTCTAAAGTTATTTGCATTTTTCTTACATGGATATTTAAAACACACGTAAGAGGTGTTGTGTTTTGAAACTCATGCTTTTGTCGTGTAAAAACGTTGGCTGATGAGTCCTTGTACATGTTCATACAAATGATGGCATTATCTAGGAATGGATTATCTTTTCCCCAGTTGCGTCCTCATGCCAGCTGTGTCATTGTATTGTAGTGAATACTTGTGATTATCTCTAGCGATAAATTTGTAACTTGGTGCCTGACCTAGAGCTGAGAGCTCCATGCCCATCTTTCTTGGAATGTCGGTAATGGATTGTCAGCTGTCTTTATTATGAGGTTTCAAGGCTTTGGTATTAATGAAGAGGCTTTTTTTTTTTTTTTTTTTTTTTTTTTTTTTAATTTGAGGATTTTGTGTGTTAATAAAGAGTTTTTTTTTTTTTTTTTTTTTTTTTTTTTTTTTTTTAAATACGGAGACAGAAGCTTTGGCTGCAGATCAATGAATAAACAAAGAGTTATTGTATTCAGTAGCTCTAGGAGTTTGAGGGCAAGCCTACTTGAGAGTGTTGAGTTCATGTTGTTTTGTTATAGGCGCAAGTAATGTAGCATTAGTAGTTGGGATGCGCTGTGGCTTATAGTCCGTTTAAATTGCAGCATTTGCTGTTGTCAGCCAAACCAATGCTGCTTTCAATCTTTTTTGTTTAAACAAAAAAGCACACTTTCTCTTGAAGAACAGTTACATCTCATGTGAATACTCTTGTCTCATAGTGAATTGCTCTGTCTGCCTTGTGTAAGAGCTCTACCATCACATCTGAATCCCACTGTGAACTTCATAAACTGTCTTCCACTCCTCCCTGCCTCAGGATTTCAGTGGTGGGGTTCTTTGCACCATCTTTAAATGGAAAAGTTACATTTTGGGACAGTGACTGGTGGTGTTCATATTCATAAATGTCTTTCAGATAAAGATTTTGGTGTTAGAAGTGAAGCATTCATTAATAACTTCATTGTATATATATAATGCATATGTAACATCAGTCATGTCCTGAAAGGAGAAGCTGATGCAACTTGGTAACGCTGCTGATCAAATTATTCCAGTGAGCACCCTGCCTCAGATCCAAGCAGAGACAAGGTACCTGGAAAAACACTGGTTAAATGATGAGAGAAAATGGTAGTGTTTTTTTTTCTCTCACTTTAGAAAATGTAAAATTGAATCTCAGGTACTTCAGGGTGAGGTGATTTATTTGTTTTGACTAGGAGGAGAGCAGAAGTGGTGGTGATACTTAGTTTACAAGTGGGTGTAGAATATTAAGTTTTTCACTTATGCTTATAGCAGGAATGCCGAATTTTAAGTATTCTTTTACACAAAACATTTTAAAAAAGAGCAGGTAACAGAAAGAGGTTCTCAGTTACTATTTGTAGGCAGTTACTATTTGAAGGCTTTTCTGTGTCCTACCTTAATGGTTAGGCTGTCAATCTAAAGACCAGGAATGAAACCTTGGCCCTATTGAAATCATTAGCAAACCTGCCGTTGGGGTGTTTTAATGTGTTCACAAGGCACATAATAGGCAAGAACTCTTATGAAATGCTCTGTTCTTACAAAGCCTGATAGTACATGTGCAAATGAATCGGATACTGACAGCAGATAGGCACTATAATAAAGGGGTTATAAATTATAATATTACTGTGGACTGAAGCAAGGAACAAGACTGAGGTATTTTGAGGAACTGCAGATCTATGCAAAGTTTAAATGAAATGTGGCAAGCTGAAGAGGAGGTGCAGAATCAGAAGCAAAAGGCAGAATTCATTCAGGCTTGCCTGGCAGAATATGGCAGTAAAAAATAGCATGAGCAAACACTAGCTAAATTGGTAAAGGGTAATGTGTATATTGGGAGTAAAATAGCACTAGAGAAAAATTGGACCCTTCTGTAAAGGAGGAGGGGAAAGGAAACAAATGGATATTGATGACTGCAATGGCACTAAAATAGAATTTTAAAAGTAATTAAAACTTTGCAGTACAGCATGTAATAAAATTAAGTAAAGGCATAGAAGATGTGAGAATACACACGTAATCCATTCATGGTCATACATGCCCACTGGCTTTTAGAAGAATGTGATAAAGTTACAGCAGTGCTATCATTTTCGGTAAATGCTAGAGAACAGATGTGGAGTGTTTGGTGGTTGATCCCTACAACATGAAAAGGTTAATACTCATCATATTCATCCTGTCACCCAAAACTTGTCTTGGAAAACTGTCGGCGCTGATGTTAAAGAAAATACTTGAATTTAATAAATATTAAAGGAACCTTCAGATAAAATTATAATACGTATTTATCAACTAAGAGCTCCTCATAACTTTTCAAAATGTGGTGGGTGAAAGAAACTCTCGTTACAAAAATTAAGTTCAAAAGGATAAACTGTACATGTGTCAAAGTTGGAAAAAGTTCTAATTAAATTTTTACCTTCACTGTATGGGACACAGTGCTTGATGAGCAGCTGTGTATGGCTCCAGGTCTTTCTCATCATACGCTGTTCTGAAAACAAAACATGTTCTTTTGTTAGAGTTTTCAATGATATTGATCACAGTCATATTAAATTCTAAAATCACTCTCTAAGTGAAGAGATGTTTTCTTTTTTACAGATGGGAAACTGAGGCATTCATTGCCGTAGGAAGTTTGAGTGGCCTCTTCATGATGGATGTAGGTTGAATTTTCCGAAACATAGAGCTTTGGAGAAATAGAGCTTCTGAAACGCCTTCAAAGTACATCTCTCATCAAATTCAGCAGTAGTTGCAGTTGTAGATACACAGTACAACCTGCAGTTTAAATCGCATGATTTCAAGTCAGGAAATGAGGGATGCATTAAATCAGTAAATCTTGAAACTTTTTTGTTATAGTGAAAAACTGTGGCAGATACAGGGGTAAACTCCAGTTCCACCTGAGCAGCATACAGCTACCTTAATGGTAAAACCATCTTCTGCTGCGTTCACTACTCGTAGGATAAGTGAAGCATTCAGTCCTCTGGCACGCAACAGCTCCTTCACTCCGCTGCTGTTGGCTGATCCCCTAGAGCAGGCCCATCCACTGCCTGTGAGGACAAAAGCGTGACTATGTATTTAGTGACTGATACGGTTGTATCTGTGAAGGAGAGTCGTTTAATGTTGCAAGGGCAAACAATTCTGACTGCTCTTAACTTCTGCAATAGTAGTATTTGTTAAACCAGGGGAAGAGCTAGGTATTTGGCTTTGTTTTTGCCTTGCAGAAATATGTTGACAGCCACTGAGTCAACAAGTAGATGTCTTCACCTTTAGCTGCACTGCACAGATGGTTTGGTTCTAATCCAAAGGGAGTAAGGAGTATCAGTGGTGAATTACCACCCTCTATAGGGACTGGCCAGTGCATGGGATGAGTTATACTTCCTCACTGGATGTTTTCTCCAACTGTGAAGATGATTGGAGGGCTCTACTGTTTTGTTTTTTCCCTATAGACCTTGGAGGGAGGAGGGAATAGGCACCGACAGCTACGGTGGCTCTCCCTGGGTCGTCCCGGTAATTTGCCTAGAGATATTTACTGGTCTCTGTCTAGCCCTCTCATATTCAGTATCTCCAGTCCTTGATTCTGGTGCCTGACTTTCAGTGTCCACAGTAAGACTGGGGTATGCTTGTACCCAGTGACCAGAGCCCTGTTGGTTTCAGAGTTGTGTGGGTCACTTACAGCCTCTGGTGACTTGATTTACATCAGTGTCTCAGGCTCTTTATCCCTCCACCTCTCTGAAGTAGAGGGAT